GTGTGGTTTTCCTCCTACTCATCAAAGGTATGTAAGTTATCCTCCTCATCAACGCTCGCTTCGCTGATTAGTTATTACCTTCAGCATGAACGTCCATTTGATCCCTTGAGTGCCAGTAGTGAGCTTCCATTGACATCGGTATGCAAACATCAGCAATAAAACAAGAGCCTTGACGCCTCCCATCCAGTGGAGTCAATACCAACCTTGATCACCTCTAAACAACAAGGCGGTGCCGCTCTTGAACATCCCTTCCATAATGTGCTTTGTTGATTGAGACAATGCTGATCAAAAGTATGTTGATGTTGGGTATGTTTCATTGGCGTACATTTTGTCGAGCATATCAAGAGCCGTCAATCATGTCCTTCTAGCTGCAAGCATCATTCGATCGTCCAACAATAAAGATCCTTGTTGAATACGCCATCCAATATCGCGCCCGATTAACGGTTTGATCCAAACATGTGATGATGGTGGGTAGGAGTCGAATTGCATGAAAGAGGCTCTTCATCCATGGAGTGCAAAAGATCCAAATGGATTGCGGATATAGCTGGACAAGGATAGCTTCATAACCAGTAATGAGCACGACCTATTATGATACCCAAGTGTTAACCATTATTCGTGAAAGAAGAAAGATATCTTACCACAGCGTCTGTCACCCAATCCTTTTCAATGATATCTCCTTGATCACCTTGTACCACTTGTTGTAAAAGCAATGATACGTCTTCTGATGATGGCCACAGACCCAGCACTCGCTACTTGTCATAGCACCTTTCATCCAAGGAAACCGCCACATCAACTCGTGTTGGATGCCGAACAAAAAACAAGTGCCTTCCATGGCTTGGGCGTTACCATCCACGTTGTCAATGATAGTTGTGCTTCAGTTCCCCAGTCGTCTATGTCAATTGAAATCACCCTGTTGTCTTGTACTTGTTGCGCAGGTTGGGACGTTCATTGTCGCTTCAATGGAAATAAAGACACCTTGTGCTGATAAGCAATGTCGCTTCAAATGAGTTGCCATCTGGTTCCGAGATTGGTGTATTGGTGCTTGGAAGTAAGAGTGGATCGTAGTGTCGAATGTAAACCCGCGTTTGAAGGAGGAGGAAAAGAAGAGTGGTTACCCGCTCCACCCTTTCAGCTTCCATATAAGGATGGCGGTTGTTTAATAGTGGTGTTCATTCATGCAATGGCCTGTTAAGGGATCAGTGATAGCAATCAATCCTCAACAATGAATGTATTACTTGTTAGCTATCACTCTTTGTATCCATTTACATCACACACAATCAACATGCCAGTGACAAGTGGCTTTTATGAGGTCTGATCAACGCATAGGAGGGTACTACTACTTATTGGCCATCCTTGAAAGCTGAGCTCGCTCCAACAATACAGGGCCTATCCATCCATGTTACCATAACACAGCACGCAAAGGCGGATCTTTTCATCATCGCCTACGTCATACCATGGTCGAGAATGCCAGCTTTTTTAACCGGGTTCGATGTCGCCTTTCAAGTACCAACATCATCTTTCATGATGATCATAGAAACCAACGTATGAAAACACCATTGATCACATGCTACAACTATACTTAATTTTCCTTCATTGATGTCTCACAATAAAGGAACATGATACCTCTTCACAATGAACATGCTGGATTTTATTTTCATGCCCTGCTATGATAGTATTGATCGATACGATTCTCAACGTTGCGCTTGTGGTAGTAGCATCACGCATATCTATACATGACGGCAAGTTGCAATACACAAGTTATGATCAATCACGGCTGTTTATTAGATGCAGGCTATGCGTATTGTGTACATACCAAGCTCCGTGGACCTATTTAGCACGATGTCGTGTTCATCATGTGGTTACGTTAGCACAACGTACAGCAAGGTATGTGTCAATGACATGACGGCGATCACTATGCAGACAAAATTTGTGATAATGTAATGTGATCCAGGTCCACCTGGTGATCATCATCTACTCACGCCTACCACCACCATTTAGATCACATCGAGTGTGGTGATGACTTTGCATAATGCATCCATTGTCCACTTTTCCTGATACATGAATGTCGTGTGGCTATACGCGCGGGATGGACAATAAACAGATGTAATCCGACAGCAGCTGGAGGACCATGTGATCTATGCAGTCAGCAGCTAAGACTCATTTTGATGATGCGACGAGAGGGGGGCAAGGGGGTGATCGTTGTACAGAGTAAAACATTTAGTAGATCGTGTAACAATGTAATAAAGCGGCTTCGGAAACGGATAGCATTATCCGATGATGAGATGAATGATCTACTTTGCGATCATGCAATATGCAACCTGATGCAAGGGCATCCATGATCGGTAGGTTTAAAATAAAATGGTATGCGATGGACCACGAATTTTAGGTAAAAACAACCAGGTAGGATGGCTTCTTGACTTGTGTCCAATATGGCAACAACCATGCACGATAACGTGAGCGATAAAAACCCGACATATTGGATCAAGTGTAACCTACAATTCCAATGCAACATACCAACGCGTTCCAAGGCAAGTCATCTACTACACCATCATGTGGGCTTGTGTGTGTGTGTGTGTGTGTGAATACATGTGCGTGTATGGGTGGTGTATAAAGGATGCTTTTGACACAAACATCATCATCTCAAAAGAAAAATGACTCTCTCTCAGGGTCTATCTACTAAACGTACCAGCCACGGTCTTATGCTGTTGTATGTGTGTGCCATGGAATCCTTTCCAGCCACTTTGTGTTGAATTTCCAATTCAACCAGGATACCCAGGCAGGAGAACGTGCATGTATCGATGAATTCATTACGTCTGCTGCACGTTACATGTGTGTGTATGTGTGTGTGTGCAAAAGCATAGAATCATAATAATAAGGCTTGGCTAGATGATGGATGGTACCCCACCCCCAACTTTCCGTTTTCGGTATATGGTGTGATGAAGCATGTTGGGTAATCGAGAAGAACGTCGTGGTCGTGCAACACTAAAATAGAAAAATGGAATCATCACGATTGCAATAATCTGTGTGACGCTTGGTGATAAAGTAGCACACACACACACCTTTTTAATTCCGTTCGCTCGGAAGATGTATATATAAAGCGATAAACGTGTGGATTTCCTTTCAAATAGCATACCCGTCGACACGCACGAGACACAACATCATGCGATACCCTCAGCGTCCCACATGTTAAATTTATATGACCAATACTTTTGTGGGTGTGTGAATAACCGAGATTTAGATATCATAATCATCGCCGAGAGAAAAGTACGACATGTCGATCTTTGCCATATTTTGACAGATGAGATAATATGACAATGCCTTTATGGAGAACAAGATGAGGAGTTGAAGAAAAAGGTCCAAGCAACATTAGAGTTTCTCGAGAAAGTTGGGGGGGGGAGAACCGTGGTTGTGAGTTTACATTTCCTCCAACAACTTGTTGAGTAATAAATATGAGTAGTGTTGTATGTATGCATTACATGGAGAATGCATGTGGCACATACTACGACTCTGACAAGCGTACTCGTCTTTAATGCATAGATCAAAAAAGGGGGGAAAGCGGCGGTCAAGGAGCTCGTACGTGTGGTGGTGTGTGGGAAGATAAAGATGTGCATGCAGCTAATGATGATGGCGTCAACATCATAAGGGGATGTTTGCAAGGATCAAAATGGAGCCGAATCACCGGATGATGTATTGTATGATAAAGTTACAAACATATCAGTGTACCTGTTGTTCTCATTGTGACCATCATTAGCAAAGGATAAAGAGGCCAAGAAATGTCATAGAAAGGGTAAAAGACGACATCTCGGATGTAAGTACCGCGTTTGGAAATTGATGATGACGGCTGCATATGCACATCCAACTCGTCTGAGCACGCACTTGTGGGTTTGCCATTTCGTTGTCGATACACCGAGCAAGAGGAGAGAGGTATCTTATCTTTTCTCTTTGCATGATGCAGCAGCAGCAGCATTTGCGTCTACTATCAAAAGGTTGCATGTGTGCTTATATTTAATGAGCACGATGATATAGATGTGTGGCACAGCTATAATATACGTGGATCGGGCTATAATCGGCCCACATTGTATATCAAGGGGAAGAGGACACATGTGTGTATGATTGATAAAGCAGGCTGTGTGTGTTAACGTATAGCCATCTTATTGACATTGTAGTAGTAGTCACCACCCGTTTTCTTTTCTTTTCCCATCCCGTATATAACCGGAGCCATCTGATGTCATAAACCAGAGAGAAGAAGAGAGATAGGGATTGGGTTGTGTATAAAAAAGGAAAAAGCCATGGCATGTTAAGCAATAGCAGCAGCAGCAGCAGCAAGATGTGGATGGGGTTGGTTGGATGGATGGATGGGGGGTAGGATAGAAGATTTGCATTAACGATCAAAGAGAGGCACACACGCAGAGGCAGGCACCTTATGACATGAGGGGAGAGAGATGTTTGGGGGAAGGAAACAAAGAAAGGGGGAAGAATAATGTAAGTACATGAAGTTAGTATTATCAATACTCGCCTGATGCTCTTGTTGCACACACAACAGGAATTTCTCGAAATCCAAGATAAAAAACAATTTATTGTCATGTTCCTTAGGTTGTACGAGCCTCGGGCTTTACTGCCAGAGAGATATCGGATATGAGGAAAGGCATCAATCCGACGAAGGTGATATGCATTAATGTTATAAATCGGAGGAAATATAATAGCGCGTGTAAATAATGAAGAGTATTATTGTATTTGTATATATGCAAATGAGACACACAACACATGGAAGCAAGAAGGTTTCGGAGAGGCACAGCATGTTTATCTTTTTCATCTGGATAATGAGAATGTGGATCCCTTTGTGTTGGCAGGCGGGATAGAACATGGCACTGTAGCAAAGCAGATTCTTAGAATTTTTATACCTTCTTTACCTTTCTCACGTTTTCACTCTCCCTTCTCCTCCTTGTTTTATTCACTAGCTACCTTTCTTTTTTTCTTTCAACCCATTTGCTCCTCGTAGTATGGCGAGCTATGAGGCCGATTGTGAAGATCTGTCAGGCGATGAGTCTTGGGAGACCGACACTGCTACCACTACCACCTTTCTCAGCAGCCGACCTGCAACAACACAACCCCTCTACGCTTTCAATGACTCCATGCCTCATGTCCCAGCTCCAGTAGCAGCAGCAGCAAGTCCATTATTGCCACCACCACCTCCACCCATGCACGCCATTGAGGAACTAGAGACTGCCGACGATCCTGCGGCATACAGTGACGATTCCGAATATTCACTTGACTACGAGTATTTGGGTCCGCGTAATCCCAATTATCGTCCTCGAGATGATGCTGACAGCGATGCGTCCGAGTTGTCTGATGCTGATCTGGATATGCAAGAAGCCGATAACGATCGTGAACAGCAACATGAAGCTACAGCAACAACTGCTACAGCAACAACTGCCACGGCAACAACGACAGCGGGGTTTGACATGTGGGACGAAGATCCATACAGCACAAACGACTATACATGGGAATCCAACGATATGCGATTGACATGGTTTATCAAAGCTCGCAAGACACAGTTGGCTCAATTGGATGCGATGGCACCATGGCATCGCACGAGTTTTTGGCGAAAGGAGAAAGGATGGCCACGTCAACTCCCATCTTCATGCTCAACTACCAACCATGATCAATCAGCGAATGCATTATGTCTTGTTCTTGGCAATTATGGTCTCTCAGAACAATTGTATGCCATTTATCGCAACCGTATCTTGGAATGTGGTCGACCTATCATTATGGATTCAAGACGACAGCAGCACCAGCATCATTATCCTTCCATCAATCGAGGAGGTGGAGGTGGAGGAGGGCATTGGATGGGAGAACAAAGATCAAAGCAAGATCCTTTGACATGGATCGACAGTGATCAGCGTTCCTCCTCCTCTTCATCTACTTCTATCAGGATACAAGGATCAACATTGGATATGGATGGAAAAGGCAACAACAACAACAATGGTGGTAGTAGTAGCGGCAGCAGCAGCAGTGGCAATCATCAGCAACAACAACAACCTCTTACTACTACTACTACTACCACGACAACGACAACGACGACCACAACAGCAACCAGTAACCATGAAGGTGGATCGGAGGATGACAATAGCAATAGTGGTACAAGCTCCAATGGCAGCAAGTTTTGTGAAACGCACTTGTCAGTCTCCTTACGTCGGTCATCGACATCCGACCATCCGACATACAACCACATGCTGGCATCCTCCTCATCTTCCGGGGATGGCAACAACAACCATGATAATGCAAGTACGGGGATCATTTCCAAATTTGTTCCTTTCACCAAATACATCCGACGAGCCGATTTCCCACCCGTATTTCGACAAGATTCATACATGGCATTGGAATTTGAACCATTGTGTCTTGCTCAGAAATATGGATACATGGCCATTGGGGGATTGGAAGGTGAATTTGAATTGTATTGTTGTCATGATCAAGAGCATCCACCACGCAAGATTTGGGGTACAAAGTTCAAGAGCAAGAACAATGTTCAATTGATGACCAATTCGGTTCAAATTGTACGACTATCACGACTCGATCAACCCAACGTTTATGATCACATGTTGATTGTATGCATGAATGAAGCTGGTGTATTGTTATATCGCTTACCGCCTCATCACGATTGTCTTGAACAACAGCATCATCATCAACAAGTGGTTCAGCTCTATACGCATTTGAGATCTTTTGACAACGTGCCTATCAACGATGCCAAAGTCAGCTTTGATCAACGGCAAATGGTTTGCGTTGGTGATGATCGATACGTTTTCTTATTTGACTTGGTCCATGATGCAGCGACAGGATCAGTGGTGTTTACGAATCAACGCAAGCTTGTGGTGCCCGTGCACAGGTTGCAGGGTGGTGGAGGAGGTGGAGACAATCCGGCTGGCGAGATGCCCTACTCTTCTCAATATGTGTCATGGAGCCAATCGTCAAGGCATTTTGCACACACTTCAGATACCCATAATCATGTCCTTGTTTGGCGAGCTGAGACACAACAAGTCTTGTACTCAATCGACGCTGCTGGATATACTTACGCCATTGCATTTCATCCACGCCTTGAAGGCGTGCTCGCTTTCACCAATCGATACGGCTATCTACACACCATCAATCTTGAAGAAGCTATTCTCGCTACTACATCATCTTCTTTACATCAGCATACACAACAACAACAACAAGTGGTCAATATCCTCGATTTGGACGACACACAACAACCACTACCACTTTCAGCATCCAGTAACCATGACAACAATGATCAAGAAGGAGGAGGAGGAGAACGTTTGGCAGCACATCAAGAAATTACTATGATTGCATTTCGTGGTGAACGGGATCGACGACTGCGAATATTAGCCAAGATTAATGGGATCCAATGGTCACGGGATGGCAAGTATCTCTATGTGGCTACCAAGAAACGGGTACTGGCATACGAATTTCTTATGACATCTCGCAGCGTAAGCAGTTTGGTGGAGTTGACAGGGGATAAAGTTCGAGAGATCTTTGAACGCTTTGACAGTGCTACTCGTGAACAAGACAACAACAACAACAAGCAACGAATGAACATGACTTCAAGGAAACGTAAGCGTATTGACAAGAAGAATATCTCTACAAGACCCTCCAAAGATCCAAAGATCAGGGCAACGGCTTGGTTTACCAAATGGTCACTCGTTCCACCTCATCTTCGACATACCGTATTGAAAGAATCTAACCTGGCAAGCCATTGGTGAGTTTCTTTCTTTTGCTCCTTTTTCCTTTTTCCACAATACACACGCACACACAACAGACACACACACATGCATATCTCCATTTCCTCTTTGTACATCTATATACTGCTTTATTCTTCTTTTTCTCTTTTACCATCCAACACACCATAACACCCAAGCATATCATTTTTCTCTTCTTTGACACGAACAAACCAACCAACCATTACCATTCATCATATCTCTTTTTGACCGTCGCTTGATCACAGTTCCCATTCGCTCCCTATCACTCACTACTCATGGCTCTTTTTCTTCCATAAAAATACATCTTGTTTATATGTTTCCTCCTTTTTCTTTTTTATCATCATCATCATCGCCTTGAATATATTAAGTCCTTTACTTTGTATATGAAGAAGCTCGTATTGTCCGATATAAATGTGTGTCAATGTTGCTTTTAGGAATGCATGGGTGGGTTGGGGGATGTGGTTTATTGGTGCTGGTTATGGAATGATATTTATGCATAATACTACTTTCCTCCCGAACTATGGTCATCCATATCATCATCTTCATCATCGAGAAAATCGCTTTCTTCGGCAGATTCATACCAGCTAATCATAGCAATGCCATGGTTACCAACGTGAACAGCACATGCCATAAAGAGAACCCAACTTACAAGTTTTCATCTTCTTCTATTTCTGCGGGTGCAGCCAACATGAAATCCTTTTCTGATTTGGGCATTTGGAATCCAGGAGGAATATCCTTTTTGGAGGCTTCTACTTGGGCTATAGAGTTGAAAAGCATAGGTAAGCAACATCCTATGTGTGTGTGGTGATCATTCAATCGTACTTTTTACTATAGAATCAAAGAGATCTCGGTTCTTTCGATATGCCACCTAACGTCCCAAAGTTAGCATAATGTTGGAAAGGGGAAACAATGGTGATTTACTTACACCGGCATCTACGTTGGCAGGGCTTGAGCAATTGGGATCGGCCAATAATGAAATGATTGAAACCAAGACACCTGATCATGTTCCCATGTCAATCATGTCATTCATTGTGCGATTATTCCAATACACTTACTTTCGACTGACTATGGTTCATCATCAAGAATGATACGACAAAGGGTCAGCTTTACATTCATTTCCCTCAAAGTTGAGATTGCTCACCTGAGTCGGGTTCCATCGTTCCTACAACACACACACCCGTATTAGATTATGCAACATCGATCGTCTCATCTCATCTTACATACATCTGCTTTTTCGCCGCTTACAGGATCATCACCTGGTGGATGCAGGATTGAAATACAAAGTCGACCATCCGGATACACTATACCCATTTTCTTTGAATCAATAATCGATCCTCTTGATGACGATGATGATGCCATTTACCGTTTGGATGATAAAACTCGCGATTGAATCGAAACGTAGGTGGGTTAAAGGGATAATCCTCAGGGAACGACATGGTGGCCTAATGATAGCATTCCTTGGTTCGTCAAGCTCACAGCCACCCCTTTCCACACCATCCCCTTGTCTACTTGCCTTGAAATAGCCGCCTTCATAGATCGTCTTTGGTGATCCGATAATGGCAACCTCCCTGACAAGTTCCAATGTGAGCCCATGTATACTTTTAGAATGCCATGAGAAGAGTAGTACCATTCAAAGATGCTGTCGTTTTTAAGATCGACGACGAATCCCGGCACTGGATTTTTTGTCAGTTCTATCAAGGAAGAATAAAAGTGGGGGTTGGGTTGTATGCAGTGAGTTGTCTATGTGGGTGAATGGTGTGAATGGAAGAGTCTATCAACACCTACCTTTGTATTGTCGTTGAAGGATACTAGCTGCGGATGACATTGGATAAAGAACAAATAGGAGATAATCGAATGGGGAATATATATTTGAGTGAAAGAGAAAGAGGGAAAAGGGGTTGCTGTGGATGATGATGTGATGGTCGAGAAAGGCAAGGCAAGTCTTGTGTGACGATGCCGAGTTGCTTGAATTGACTGGAGGTAGGCAATGATGGAATTGGCTCACACACACGCACACACCGACTTTGCCTATCTCAAACATAAAAGTCAGATGCATCAACCCCACCACACACATACACACATACTCACTCATAGGAGTTACATTCCTTTACTTGATCATGTGATGGGTTCTTCAAATAAGAGGAGAAAGAAGGAACAAGGGGTTGGGTTCTTTTTATTTTACATAGCAACCGATAGTTGTAGTATATGAAAAGAGTAAGAAAAGAGAGAGAGGCAGCGAAACGCCCTTATACGCCCAATGATGTAGTGGATGGCAACGGGCGTATGCGGTGATCAAACGATTGGCTCGGGCTATCCAGTGACCTAAAACACCGTTTGATCCTGAACACATACGCACACATATCCTCTTTCCGTGTCGTCGTATACCAAAAAGAACCCTATCACACTCACACTCCACTTTTCACTTCTTTCTTCTATTTCTGACATCTCGTTTACTCTTTAACTTTACATCGACATGGTATGTCTCTCTTTATTCCTCTCTTTGCTTTTTGCTCATTGTCTCCTCTCTATGGCTGGCTACTTATGCATTCCTACTAGGCTGGAGCACTCGAAAACGCAGAGCAATTCGTTCCCAAGATTAGAGATCACGAACGCGAATCCGACTTTGGTACCATCTTTTCAGTCTCGGGTCCTGGTAATGCATCTCTTGCTTTCCACACCTCTTTTCTACCTTGGAAGAACGCTTTGACGCGTGCCGCCGTTACAACCAGGGGGATAAGGGGGAGATAATGTGTTTCGAGTTTGTTGTACTAACTCTCCATTCTTTACTACTTGATAGTCGTCGTTGCCGATAACATGCGTGGTTCGGCCATGTATGAATTGGTAATGTATTCTTTATCCTCTATCGTTATCATGCTGACTCTCGTTTCTTCATAGGTCCGTGTAGGCCACGATGAACTTATTGGTGAAGTCATTCGTATTGATGGCGACAAGAGTACCATCCAAGTCTACGAGGAAACTGGCAAGTATCATTACAAGGCCTATCAAACAAGAAAACTCATATCCCTTTAGGTGGTTTGACCGTGGGTGATCCTGTATTGCGGTCTGGCAAGCCCTTGTCCGTGGAACTTGGTCCAGGTAAATGATAACAATACTTTTGGTATATTAGAATGTTCTCTTATGGATGATACATTTAGGTCTCATGTCCAACATTTATGATGGTATTCAGCGTCCGCTCAAGGTGAGTAAAAGAAAAAGCAAATGGTCATGCAACAATCCATCTAATGTACTCTTTTCCCCCCTTTTCATTAGGCCATTCAAGATGTCTCAGACAGTATCTATATTCCCCGTGGTATCGCCACCCCTGCCTTGGATAAGCAACGTGCCTGGGACTTTGAGCCTATCAACTTTAAGGTACACAATGGACTTTCTTTCAAACTTGGCATCATCTCACACATACATAGGTGGGCGATCACATCACTGGTGGTGATATCTATGGTACGGTGGTAGAGAACTCTCTCTTGTCCGATCACGCTATTATGCTTCCTCCCAGTGCACGTGGTACCATTTCTTACCTTGCCCCCAAGGGCCAATATACCGTTGATGTAAGCAAGCAGAATGAGGATACCATCATCATCATCCAGGATGCGTTTTTATTCATTGAGTATTCTATAATAGGATGTTGTCCTTGAAGCTGAATTCGAGGGTGAAACTACAAAGTACACCATGAAGCAACTTTGGGCTGTGCGTTCTCCTCGTCCTGTTGCCGAGAAGCTTTCTGCCAACTACCCCTTGCTCACTGGCCAACGTGTGTTGGATTCTCTTTTCCCGTAAGTGGTCATTGTATTCCATTCTTCACATTTGGCTCATGATGTGTTCATTATAGATGTGTCCAAGGTGGTACCACTGCCATTCCTGGTGCTTTCGGTTGTGGCAAGACCGTCATTTCCCAATCGCTTTCCAAATACTCCAACTCGGATATCATTATCTATGTCGGGTACGTTTTTATGCTTGATGGAGTCATATAGATATATATAACTAACACGAAATAGATGTGGTGAACGTGGCAATGAAATGGCTGAAGTATTGATGGATTTCCCTGAATTGTCGATTGATGTCAAGGGTCGCCAAGAATCTATCATGAAGCGTACTACTCTTGTTGCAAACACCTCCAACATGCCTGTGGCTGCTCGTGAAGCCTCCATTTACACTGGTATCACCCTTTCCGAATACTTCCGTGATCAAGGCAAGAACGTGGCCATGATGGCTGATTCTACCTCTCGTTGGGCCGAAGCTTTGCGTGAAATTTCCGGTCGTTTGGCTGAAATGCCTGCTGGTAAGCATCATACACACACACAACCTTGTTATTAGGATACTCATAAATATCTATATAGATTCCGGTTATCCCGCTTACTTGGGTGCTCGTCTTGCCTCTTTCTATGAGCGTGCCGGTAAGAGCACTTGTCTTGGTAACCCTGCTCGTGAAGGTAGTGTCACTGTGGTCGGCGCGTAAGTAACAATACCATTGGATTGTATGAGATGATGATGAAAACTCACCATGATGAATCATAGCGTGTCTCCTCCTGGTGGTGATTTCTCTGATCCCGTTACTGCATCCACTCTCGGTATCGTCCAAGTGTTTTGGGGTCTTGACAAGAAGCTTGCTCAACGCAAACATTTCCCTTCGGTCAACTGGAACCTCAGTTACTCAAAGTACATGAAGGTGCTTGAGCCTTTCTATGAACGTGCCGATCCCGAATACATTTCGTTGCGCGATCAATGCAAGGAAATTTTGCAAATGGAAGAAAACTTGTCTGAAATTGTCCAATTGGTCGGCAAGGTAAGCAATCATAGATGGGTCTTTAGGATGCAGGCATTCAAATCACTCACGCTATTTTATGATCCACATACATAGTCTGGTTTGAATGAAACGGACAAGGTTACCTTGGATGTTGCCACTCTTATCAAGGATGACTTTTTGCAACAAAACGGTTACAGCAACTACGATCGTTACTGCCCCTTCTACAAGACCACTTGGATGCTTCGTAACATGATCGGCTTCTACAAGCATGCCACCCACGTGGTTGAAGCTAGCAACAACCAAATCACCTGGGCCAAGATTCGTGATTCCATGAGTGATGTCATGTACAAGCTCTCTTCCATGAAGTTCGAGGTATGTGTATTGTTGCATGATGTATGATGTAATGGATTCGAATAACTAGGTAACTTTTAATAGGACCCTGCTGATGGCGAGGCTGCTCTCGTTGAAAAGTATACTGCTCTCAACAAGGAGATCGAAGCTCGATTCCGTGACATGGAGCTTTAAGCTCGTGTGTTGATCAATTCCCCCCACCTGCTACTTTTTTCCCTTCTCTTGTTGACTGGACCATTTATACGAGTCGCAATGTGTGTATAAAAGATGTTTTTTTCATTTTGTGTCAAGTAAAAAAGGCGACCACATTTCTTACAAGGTGATTGATACCTGATAGATATGGATTTGTAAACAGAGGGAATATAATAATTTATTCTACTATGCGGGCATATGATGGTGATAGGTTGTTGTTTTTATGCGATGCGATCATGGAGGAGGAGGAATAATGGGAATGCGTTTTGAAGTAGTATATGGGATTTAGATCTTTGCGACCATCAATTGTTGATCTTGCAGAGCATGATGCCAAGTTTTGAGTTGTTCCAAGACGACAAAAGTGATGATGGTTTGAGGGCCGAGACGAATGAATGCAGGTGTCCAGCCCTTGAAGAAAGATCGAATGCCTTCCATTTTGTACATTTGTGACATGATGGTCATGGATGATAATCTACGTTCGGAAGTGCTTGCTGACATGATACGTGTCTTGATCACATCGACTGGAGAGCATACGGTCGTTGCCACCAAACCCTGCATGAATGGAAAAATGTCATCATGATGAGTAATCAAGCTCTCGGGTGTTTGTGGATCCGGTTCCGTAATGTTGTCCCACCCTCTCTCGCTCTCGTTCCCCACAATGTAATCCTTTCCAATCAACTTACCGCAAGTACACTAGATGTGAAATGAGTAGTAAGGCCATCCTTCATTGGGGTGTGATTTAAGAGCAAATCCTTAAAGATGTCATAGGAGACGCATTGGGAAGAAGTCATAAGGATAGCACGGTTGACATTGGGACCAACGCCTCGGAATAGCGCACTGACACCTTCCTCACGGCTTATCCGCACAAGACCATCCAATGCATTCTTGTAATGACGGCGTTGTTGAGGTGGCAGCTGACCATCGTTTTGCATTCTGACATTGATAACATCACCGGGATTGCCACATGCTCCACCCAAAGCACCAGCTGCACTCGAACATAGCAACAATTGCCATATACTAGGTGCTACATGACACCATATGCTTTCATATGAGCAAACACATGTTGGATAATCAATGTCATTCACACTTACAAGATGAAGTACTTTGCTTGAGTCTTTCATAGACACCGAATCGTACCGTAGAATAAGTAGCTTGTCGAAGAATGCTTGCTGATAAACCGGCATACAACCGAAGAGGTCCCTCTGTGCGAGCAATCTTGATCATGGTGCCAAGCATGCCCATGTTGGCATTGCCCTTCATGGTTTGCAATCGCACCTTGGTGAGATCGAGTGGGTGAACACAAGTGGCTGCCACACAAGAAGCAGCACCACCAAACCAAAAAGGAGTGGATTTCTTTGCTGATGTTGACATGGTGATGGTTTAGATATTAAAAATGTGTCGTTGCTGTGTTTCGAGAGAGAGAGGAATAAAGAGTGCCGTCGTCAATGGATACAACGAGACGTTATGAATGTGCACACAAAGAGTGGAAGAGAAGGGAGGAGGAGGAGGATAATAATAAGGAACAAAGGAAAAAAAGAATGATCTATATATAATAATGCAGCTGTCTCTTTCAGGTACATCCGATCGTTCATTGAGTCTTTCTTTTTGCTCCGTTCTATGGAAAAACTTTTTCCGATATAGCCCGTGTATATAGCCACCGGCAATCAGGATGGAAATACCCCACACCATGTGTTAAATGTTTCTTATGACCCACTGCTGCTACTACTTTTACTATCATTCTCATCCATAATGTACATACATAACATCCCTATACCATCGTCATGATCATCATCATTATGACTCAAGGGGAAATAAAGAAGGGGGGCTGATGATGATGATGGAATAGATTAGCCGCGCCTTTCTTTTTCTCCCCTTGATCGACATGCACAAATGGAGCAAGCTGGTAAACAGCGGATAAGTTCGGATCCTTTGAATCAAACCGTGACTCAAAAGGACGAATCGGATTTCAATCTTCTCATTGGGTGAGATAAAACCTATCCCCTATCACTTTGGACCAACGCTTTTGCTCACCTTTCCACCATCCGAGACATTTTGCGGGGTATTCAAGGCATTTGCATAATGGTGCTTATCATGCACATACCACATGCAATATACCTCACTTTTTGCTATCGATTCCATGTCGCTGGAGTTCAACTCTCTTGACTCATTTGCATGAATGGTGCAAATCAAAATCGCCGCTGCTGCTGGTGCTGGTGCTGATGTTTCGGTTGTTGCTACTGTAAAGCTATGTAACAAACGACAAGAGTGAAGAGTGGAGAGGAGGAGTAGCAGTAGTAGTAGTATTACAGAGATCATCATGTCGTCATGGAGTAGAAAGCAAAATATTATACCATTGCCCGATTTATATATCTATACCATCCATTGATGATAATCCTTTATCTATCAGCAACCAGCGAATTGGGTATATATGAAGCATCTTATCGATCCCATCCATGCCATTGGCCCATCCTTCCTTTTTCCCCACGGTTTCTCTTACACAGAATTAGAAAACCTCTTATCGACGTCGTACCATTGAACGTATGCACAAGAATGATGATGATTTTATCAGAAATAGGCGACTGTATGAAGTAAAGGGAATTTGGGATTCTTGCTTGAAAAGCTATCAATGATACCGCCAATTTCCGCATCCACGTCGGTAGCAGCCTCGATCTATATAAATGATGATGCACAATGTGTTATAGAGGAACATTCCATGCATGCACATCCTTCCTTCAATCAACCTACCATCTCAACCAGCTGCAGTATAGCCTTGCCTCCTTGTAATGCATCATCGTGATTATCCTTGATCTCCACATTCAAAACATGTGTGCTTGCATTGTATCCTTGTCCTCGATTGGATAAATCTTAAAATCAAAACGATGAGGGACATGCTGCGTATAATGAAAATGATACCCTTTACCTTCCACTACTGCATCAAAGCAACGTTCTTCACATGTAATGATAACATCATATACTTCGTGTGCTTCATGCCATCGTTGTGGTGCATCCTTGACTTTACGATTCCGATCCAGCATTGATAACAAGCCGTTCTGCGTATATCTATTGGATGATGGTTACTGGTCCTGCCTGCATCTTCACATATCCAACAACCTACAATTGTGGGTCACGTTGCTTGAGTTCTTGGTATACACGATCGTAGGGTGTACCGAAAGGATAAATATTGGGCTTGTCAATAGCAGGGCCAGGTAACCGTACCATACTGCCCGTGCCATACGATGACACATTGAAGCCATGTTTGCTAGATCGATGGTTGTCAACCTTAGATTCCAATGCAGCATAGCAACGTCTCTTGTTGTACGCACCTTAACACATAATGTGCCTCCATGGATCGATTCTGGTTACTGGCGCAAATGACGGCGTACTTGACCATTGTGTGTTGGGGGAAAAAAGGGTAAGCGGTAAAAGATAAAGAAGATGCCTGCTGGCTTTTGTCCCTTTTGAGAGAGAGAGTTCACATCCCAAAACACACAGGAACGTTCACTTGGATACAACGCATCCTTTGGTAAAGCTTTCATGGTTGTGGTAGTATCCGAAGATAGCCTTGTATATTCTACACGCACCATAGGTCTAGATAAATGGATCAACTCTAAGCCAGCTGTCAACATGAATGCACCTTTTTTTTAATCACCAAGGATTTGAAGCCTTACAAATAAATGGCCTTTATACCCCACATTAAAGTAAAAGTGCTCCTTGAACGTGGATGTGGATGAGCTGAGACTTGTACTACAATGCCTGCGGATGCATGATGCCCTTGGATGCTCAGCAAAATCGGGCTACTTTTAATCACTTGGATCTGGCAAACTGCTGACTTGGTAACGATACATCATCTGGCTACAACAGCAGCTATATTATCAACCTTATTAGGCGAGAAACTATTTTATCCATATGCCATAAAAGCAACTCGTTTCAACTATACATGGATCGTGCTGCTAGCACACAATTATCCTCAACACGTATGACAATAAACAATGAAGCAACAGAGCATTTCATTGTTGTTCTTGTTACCGGTCGTCATGGTACTGTCAATTGATGTGCTATTGTGATACCACATACACAACGTGATCCACTCCCATTCACCCCATACTATTGTATTTCTATAAAACCCACTCATACTACAGTAGCTGATGTCTCCTGCATGAAAAAGTAGTAATGGTGGCGTGGCTTCTCGCAGGAGAATGTATGTAAATAGCAATTTTATAGTGTATCATGGCATGGCTCATGCGCACATTATTATGCATCTTGTTCCCGATATTCTCAAACGTTCTACTGTACCTTGAAAGGTTACATGAGCATCTTGGAATAAGTTGTCTTTGACGCTTGATCATGTAGTGGTGATATAGGGCAGCTAAGGTGGTTGATGATATTAACACTCAACATTTAAGTGATACCCGCTAACCACATTAGGGTGCCCAACAATGGCAATACAAGTATCTCTATGATCATGATAATATAGGAAGAATAGCCAACGCACAGCCCATTGTTTATTGACACGAAATGGCATGCTGTGATGTGCGAATCAAGACAAATGGATGCTCGATTCAACCTATTGGGGTATAGTAGTGTGCCTGAGGAGGTGGCCTTTACGGAAGAAAGAAAGAGAGGATCCGAAAAAGTAGGTGCTAGTGGTCTCAATCTGCATGACAAGGCCGTCAAAACCTGTCGAAACAAGATACAAGTCACCACTAAAAGGGGATCAAAACAGTGAATGGTTGTCAGATTCGATGCCTTTTTTCTCCCTCGATGCATACCCTCCCCCGAAAATCCCGTTGTCAACTACGCTATATCTTGTATACGAGTGTATAACACACACACATAAAGAGTCCTGGTCATGTCAAGGAGCTATGTGACGTTTTTCCCAACGCAGGGATAGCATTTTTTCTTTCCCTCTAAGGAGCATTTGGGGGTATACAAATCGCTTCAACACAAAGAAAATACTACTTTTGGGATGGAGAAAAAGGGAGACACGGCCTGTGTGTGTGCGTGTGTGGGAAATCCTGCGATCACATACACCTTTAGCCATGTCAAAAGGGGTAGCTGAAATGATCGAGCTGCAGCTTACAAGACAAAGAAATATGCATTGCATGAAAACGTTAAAACGGCCATTTGCCAAACGCTTCTCATTTCTCATTGTCTTTCTTTTTCTCTACCTTGCTATTATCGATATGCTGACAAGTACTCAACTCCAAGGCGTTGCACCCAATGGTATTGCCAATATGAACACAAGCTTCAGGCTCAACATCAATCAAAGCTTGGACAATCCACCTGCCAAAAAAGCACAAGATGAGGCAAGTAAAAGAAAGACGCATGAGTTTTATAATGATAATGACCCAAAAAATAGATCCTTCTTGAACCATACGAGTACCTTTGTGCTCATCCCGGCAAGGATGTTAGAACCAAGATGATTGCTGCATTTAATGTATGGCTCCAAGTACCTCAAGACGAGCTACTTGCCATCACCAAAGTGATCGGCATGCTCCACAGTGCCAGCTTGCTGTAAGCGTTGTAGGGTTGTTATCAAGGCTATCATACTCATACCTCGCCTATAGCATCGATGATGTTGAAGATGACTCGGTGTTGCGTCGTGGTGTTCCTGCAGCCCATCATTTGTTTGGTTTGCCACAAACCATCAATTGTGCTAATTACGTCTACTTTTTGGCACTCGACGAGATCATCAAGCTCAAGAATCCGGAAATGGTCAAGATCTACACAGGTATGTGCTCAACATCTTTACATCCAAGCCTGCCATGGTGTTTATACGTCATGTTTATTTTAGAGGAGCTCGTCAATCTTCATCGTGGTCAAGGTAACAAAGGCTAAAAAGGGGGAAAAAGAGAACAATGAAAGTACTGATTCCTTGTTTAGGCATGGAACTTTATTGGCGTGACACAGCTACATGTCCTACAGAGGAAGAATTTATCGAGATGGTGGACAATAGTATGTATCGCAAGCACCCTTGACAAGCCAAACCTACTCACCCTTCCTTGGTATCATGATATAGAAACGGGTGGTTTGCTCCGCTTGGCCGTGAAACTTATGCAAGCTGCCAGCACATCCAAACAGTAAGTGGTGGCAACAAAATGATCAAATTCCAACGTTGTTGATGACAAGGGGATCATTAGGGATTACACTGGTTTGGTGAGCAAGATCGGTATCCATTTTCAAGTGCGTGATGATTATATGAATCTCCAATCACAGCAGGTATTTTATGCTCCCATGCCCATTTGATCGCTCAATCGAATTTACCGTGTTCGTTGCATGATGTAGTATGCTGACAACAAGGGCTTTTGTGAAGACTTGACCGAAGGCAAATTCTCATTCCCAATCATCCACTCGATTCGCAGCGATCCTAACAACCGCCAGCTGCTTAACATTCTTAAGAAACGCAGCGATTCATTGGAGATCAAACAGTATGCTTTACAACTCCTTGAGCGAACGGGCACGTTTGACTATTGTCGCAAGTTTTTGGCCAACATCGAAGTCGAGGCACGTAAAGAAATTGAGCAACTTGGTGGCAATTCCAAATTAGAAAAGATCATGGATATGCTGAGCATCCCTGTTTGAATTTGTACTTGATTTGCTATTCACTCTCCCTTGACAACTCCCTTTTTTTCCCTTAGCCTTTAGCAGTAGTTGACTCGGGATCATCCTCTTTTATCAAATATATATTTTTAAAACATTATACCTTGATCACTAGCATGTTTGAGACCATGAATAGGTTAATGCTGTTTCGCAACAAGGCCATTTGTGTGATATGCTCATTATGTGCCACTGCCAAGCACACCTTGAAACATGGGCTGCTTAAAAATTTATAACGCACACAAGTTGCTAGGATGCCGACAACAACATGCCAAACATAAAACAATGGAAGGAGCAAGCACCAAGAACAGCTGATAGGATCGCATACAACATGCTCCTTTTTGCCGGGCAACATCGGAACGTGCATTGACCGGCAACATCATCACCTGCGGTAGGTAGTAGGTAATAGCAACAAGATGGATGATGCGATAAATCAAAAAGGCGATACCACTCTTTCATGTGTGTCAATGATCATTATTAAGGTTGAATACTCAAGGTTTCCATTTGTTCCGCGGAGCACCTATACAACACCCCATACACAACACAGAGAGGGTTTTATTTGTAACCAAGAAAGGTTTGATGGAGGCGAGTTGGTGTGACACATCTAAAGGGAGGAGTGTGTGTGTGTGTCTCATTGCCCCATTTTGTTGGGCAACCACGTCATGATCCTTTATGTAGCTATTGCATTCTCCATCAACACCATGCTATAGGATGGCATAACGTAAATGTAAAAGCACGCGTGTGTGCATAAAGTGGATACATGTTTGATCCAGTCATGCGGTGACAACTACCAAAAGTGACGGGGGATGGAGACAATCACGATAAGGTTTGCCAACAGGCGGGCGATGGTGATGACTTTTTCTCACACACGCGTCAACATGTAACGCCATTGGATGTTTGGATCCAACATCAGCCATTCGCCCCACAACGACTATAAAAGAGCACCCTGGAAAGCGAAATAACGGGTCCTTCAACATCTTGATAAGATAAGATCCTCCTCTCTCTCTTTTACTTTTTCTTTACCTCTGCCAGATCCTGGTGTGCCATCGTTTCTTTGAACACTGTTTATGCATTTATATCTTCTTCATTACAACATCATGAACAACTCGTCGGCTTGCTCGTATTGTGGACGTCAAGGCCACATTGCCTGGAACTGCCCAGCTCGACATCGTCCACGCTAAAAGATACAGCATTCTCAATCATCAAGCACATACATTTGCATTATCCCATACTTGCATGGTTTTCTTTCTTTCTCTATTGACATGCTCATATCCCAGTTTTACGCATTCTCTTTTCCAAAAAGCAAAACACCATTATTGCATCACACACATTATTCCCTTTGTATCATTATGCTATACATATACATATCCTCAACAAAAAGTTTCTTTATGTATTCCCAATCCCCTTTCCTTTCCCTCTCACTCTCTCACCTTCTTCTCTGCTGTCACGAAAAGTAAATCCGTGTATGCTCATTATCATCATTCATAAGAGGGAACAGAGTAATAAAAACACTTTTTCTTCTTTTATACGCTTGTTGTTGGGTGAGCGCGTCGCCTTTTTGACATGTTCGATTTGCGTTTACTTGCGTGTTGCTGCTTCCCACACCATCTTGGATTAAATGGATGTGTGCTACAGTGAATTATAGACCCGCGTGACACCATCACGCCAAAGCGCTATCCTTACTATCCTATTGGGTGTTTGTGTCATGACGATACAATGCATACAATATGAATGAATCCATGCGTAAGATGTGCATCATTGTGTGCGGGGTAGATGCAATATGAGCGTTTGTGGTAAACTCAAGTGACAAACTTGCATCAGCAGAAGCCTGGGAAAAAATGGATGGTTATACTTTAGGGCTGTCATCGCCACGCTTCATCTATATTACACAGCCTTGCGGATCTATCTATACAAGCACACCTGCTGCCAAAGAACAACATCAGCTGGCATACGAAAATGCGCACAATGCACAATGCAACATGAATGGCATGATCATTCATTGCTTAATGGAAACACACAACAACATCATCAGGCCACCCTTGTCTTTGAAAAGTATACTATGTACAAAGGAAAACTTTAATCATGTTGAAAAATGATCCATATGCAGGTACTTGTTTCAGAAGGTAAATGGGCAATGGGGTGGTAAACCCGCGGGGAAGAAGAAGACATGAGAACCGGTTTCAATTTCCCCCATCACCATGGCAACTCAAAATAGTCACTCTTCCACCATCCATGATCGACAGGTACACAAAAAAAGGCATGTTACTGCCAAGTGATATGGTGGTGGTCAATGCTGATTCTTGTTGCCATGGGGTGATGTAGCACGAGCTCATTAAAAAGGATCACACCATCATTGTTTGGTAAATGGGGTCAAAAAGTTCTTTTAATAGAAGACAACATGCAGTGATTTTTAATTGCTTGTCTCCTTTTTCAAAATAGAACATGGCAACGAGAAAGGTGCGATATGGGGCGTATTTGATTTGTCGGCCGATGGATATGGATCCTGATATGTGCGCCGCCACACATACATTGAAGGCAGTCAAATGAAGCGAGAGGGAAGAATGGGTGGATCAAAGCGCGACTCGGTCTAGTGTCACCGTTTCATGCGAAACATCCACGTGGGCACCACGGATAAACTCTAAAGAGTGGTCGTCATGTGCGACTTGAAGAAGCCTGTGCTGGTACTTTGATTGTATCATGGCAACCGGATTGGCAATTGTCAACTCCTTTGGATAAGTAAAGCTCAATAGCATGTATCTTTGTTGATGTGGATGAGTGATCCATACACGGACCAAACAAAGGGGTCGGTCGCCAAGACAGTTGGGTCGGACTTGCCATGGATCCCATTCACGATCAAGATCGTTGTCGGTTGTTTCATTTGGATCCTCATCATGGGAACAGTAAATGATCGGATATTCGAGTAGCCACCCAGTCAAGGCCACCATGTAATATGGCACCATTCTGGAAAGGAAAAAGGGGTCGTCTTTTTGATTCACAAAAGGCAAGAGGCGTTGCTGCAACCAATTTATCAACACTGGTGGTGGAGATGATCTCTATAGTAGTCGTAGTCATATACATGAGTATGCTTTTTAGGGGGAGGTGAGGGTAAAGAGAGGCTGTGTCTTAAGGTGGGGGGGGGTTTGTGTGTGTGTGAGTGTGTGTGCGGAAGAGGAGAATGAGAGCAAAACAGTGATAAGGAAGCATGAGAAACACGGGGTTAAAAGAGAGAAAGAAAAGATTACCTTGATGGGAGGACCTTGCTTTCCTCGTACATCGACATAGTCCCGTTGCTCAGGCTTATTCAATGTTGTATCCAAATGACTTTGTAGTGTCTCACGATGACAAATGAAAGTATAGTCTTGACCGAATTGAAGAAGGACCAATGATTTGCATAATGGATGCTATACAAGGGGGAATTGTGTTAGGGGGGAGGTTGACGAAAAGAGGTTTTTTGGGGGACGAATGATTTTCAGGGCACTATGTCATATCATTCAGTGATGGGTTGAAAAAAAGTGTACCTGACGCAGCTGGGTAATCAACGGGACAGCGCGATCTGAACCCACATTGCAGACATCGACGAGATGGGCAGCACTGAAACCAAAGTCAGAACCGAGACACACCAACCACAATAGTGTTCCTTGTGTCATAAACCAAGAGAGACAACATGATGTTTCTTCTTACCGTAGACCGATAGCAAGGCACGTGAGAGCTAGGTGGGATAGTCTATTGTTAGCAAAAACGAAAAAGAGAAAACAAACGCGTGGTAGTAGTAGGAGGAGATAATGTTACCCTGAAGTAGGGAGTCAAATGCGGAAGGAGATAGCCTTGTGCCTTTGAAACAAGCCCTGAGCGTGAGACGAATATGATCCACTAATGGGTTCACTGATATGATGGGATTCAAGTTAGGGGATGAATATTATAGGGGGAGGGGGGTGGTAGCGAAGGATGATGAGACCCACTTACTTTCACAGAAAGGGAGAGGAGTAAAAGAGAGAGTGATTGACACCATTCAACAAAAGAGAAACCAATTTGAGTTCCAGGTGACACCAACCATTTCGTTTAATTGCACACATTTGAATGCACATCCATCTTCTTTTACTTGTTTCTTTCCTTTTTCCCTAATATTCCACCACCCACCACTACCACTACTACTACCACCTCCACCTCCACCACCATGGCTCCTCCTCATCCACCTCCCACATCCACTCCCTTGTCACATTTACTACTTCACTCTCGACAACATACCTTGACATCAAAGCACAACCTCACAAACGACTCATCATCATCATCATCATCCTCGACTAATCAACATCCTCCTCAACCATCATCCACTCGCAGTGCAATGACTTGTTCATCACACCAACAACATCATTCATTGTCTTCTCCTCTAAACGAAAGACCAGCTATGCCATCTCGCTCTAGCACAACCACTACAACTTCCACTGCAACAGCCAATCCCGCTTTGATGTCGTCAACCAGTTACAATCACTCCGCACGTCTCATTTTTAAAATGGCCAACAATCACCTTTTCGGTCGTCGAGGACACAACAAGGATGCATCTCTTGCAGTGACTTATCTACGCCGAGCAGTATCATTGGGCCATGCTCAAGCAGAAGGAGTCCTTGGCTTTTGTTACGAATTCGGTCTTGGTGTCGAGAAGGATTTCATGCAATGTGAGCAACATTATCTAAAAGCCGCTGAGCACGAGGATGGTCTTGCCATGGCTCGTCTTTCCTTTTTGCGTAAATATGGTCGACCCAATGTAAAGATTGATCGTGCCGAAGCAGAAGCATGGGCTGAACGCGTGCGACGTATTGCTCATACCAACCCTGTTGGATGGATTGTTGAAGCAGCTACTTTGGATGGTGATGCCAATTGTCAATATGCACTGGGTGTGTGCTACCATGATGGTGTTGGTATGCCACGTGATGAACATGCAGCTTTTCGATGGTATAAGGCGAGTGCAGAACAAGGCAATGCTCGTGGCCAAGGCATTCTCGGTTATTGCTACGGCGAAGGATTCGGTGTTACCAAAGATGACACTGAAGCAATGCGATGGTATCGATTAGCAGCAGCTCAAGGCGAAACAGTGGCTATCTACAATGTTGGTTATTGCTATGAGGATGGTATTGGTGTCGAACGTGATGTCAACGAAGCCGTACGTTGGTATCGTATTGCTGCTGAACAAGGCAACGCATTTGCACAAAATTCTCTTGGCTATTGTTACGAAGATGGCATTGGCGTCAAGCAAGATTTATCACGAGCAGCACATTGGTACCAGCGTTCAGCTGAACAAGGATATCCATGGGCAGAATGCAATCTCGGTTACTGCTACCAAAACGGTATTGGCGTTGACAAGAATGATGAGCTTGGTGCATTCTGGTATCGTCGTGCGGCTGCACAAGGTCATGCTCGTGCACAACACAATCTTGGTTTTTGCTATCAAAATGGTATTGGTGTCGACCGTAATGAAATGGAAGCCGTAAAGTGGTATCGCCGATCAGCTGAACGTGGTAATATTTTCGCCTATCACTCTCTTGGCTATTGCTATCAAAATGGTATCGGTGTCACTGCCAATGAACAAGAAGCCGTCTTTTGGTACTATTTGTCAGCCGAAGAAAATCATGCTCCAGCACAATTGTCTCTTGGTTACTGCTATCGTAATGGTATTGGTGTCCCCAAAAATGAACGTGAAGCTGTAAAGTGGTTCCGTCGTTCGGCTGAACAAGGTAATGCTCTTGCACAAAACTCGCTTGGCTTTTGCTATGAGGAAGGACTTGGTGTCAAGAAGGATGCTGCTAGAGCAGTGTACTGGTATCACAAATCGGCTCGTCAAAAGAACCCATGGGCTCAATGCAATCTCGGCTATTGCTATGCCAATGGCATTGGTGTTGACAAGGATGATCGTAAGGCTGTCTATTGGTATCGTCATGCTGCTGCTCAAAACCATGCACGAGCACTCGACAAGCTTGGTGTTCATGTTCAATGCGGTCTCGGTGTGGATCAAGACTTTGAAGCTGCATTCGATCTCTTTAAGCGTGCTGCAGCACAAGATCACATTGCTGCACAGTATCATCTTGGCAACTGCTACGAGAAAGGACTTGGATGCCAAATCGATTTACATCAAGCTGCAGTCTGGTTTGAACGTGCTGCAATGGGTATGTACATTGGGTTGTGTGATGAATTATCATGTGCTATGATTAACATGTGCTTAATTTCTTTTTTAGCTGGTTGCCGCAATTCCAATGAACGATTACGACGATTGCTCTTCCGAGTGTGCATGTGGTCTCCAGGTTCTTCTCCGTTGACCATGAATGAGGACGACCTGATATGTTCTGGATTCATCAGTGGGCATAGTGCGCCGGCCGCATAGTCAGCTGATATCAAATTCGGTTCTTTATTCCCTCTCCATCATCCAGAGTCTCGTTCTCATATACTCTGTGTCCCTGATACACTTGTCATAATTGCATCTTTTCCCCTCCACCTTTTAATTTCTTGCGTGATGGACGCTTAATATCCGCTCTTTTGCATTAAACTTGTCCAAAATAACTCAATAATAAAGAGACTCAAGTACATCGACCAAACAACTGCTGGCAGGCCCAAATGTATTATTATTATATCTGTTGATGGATATGTACATACAACAGGCGGGAGTGAATATATAGTAGATGTGATAAACGTAAATGATGATGGTTGAATGAGGTCCTCGGAATGCGAGAATGAGCACAAGATTCGGCTTTGACATCCTCCGATTACTATGAAGGTATCCAGTTGTCGACTTTGGGCGAATCTCAACAAGATGCGGGTGAAGACATTTGTCCACTTCTTCCTCCAAGTCAAGCAAGGTGTATACGAGTGATTGTTGTATCGCCGAAGTCGAATTCCTTGATTTCAATAGTGGGTATAGTCAATAGCATGGCAATCTTATCAACAGCGGCGTGCCCTTCTTGATAGATTGATGAAGCACCTGCACAACGAGTCATGGTGTGATTGAATGTCATGCATAAATCAGGATATGAGATAAGCAAGGTGGCAATAACCATCATCATCGAACAATGACATACCAAATCGCATGCTGTGCTCAAATCCCACAAAGTAAGACGTCGTTTGAGGATGTAGTGCTGATTTATGAAAGGCGAGTAGATGATACCTTCACGCAATCGGTGCTGACAACGCGCCAAGTAGCCACAGCAACATTCCAGGATATCCCATCACTGCACTTGATTGCATCCATCCATCATACCATTGCAAGTCCAATAAGAAAGAGTCATCATGTGAATGCTGCTGATACACCTCGTTTTCCATCCGCTGTTGGTCTATCTCTTTCCTTGAATATTTCCTATCGCAGCTCCACCAGGTTGTGACATGCGATGTACAGCGAAGATTGCTTGTATTGCACGGTGCTTGATAGTTGATAACGTTTCATTCAAATCGAACATCACGTCGTACTGCTTGAACGATCCATACTGTTATTCATCTTGTCTTGATCATAGACTCCTCCGTTCTCTTTTATACCTTGATAAACGCCTGGATCATAATCGAAAAGCTCCTGTAGCACTGTGCTGTTTGGATAGTGACACGTGTATCGGTGGATGAAGGGATGAGCATGGTCAACGCATGGCACAGTTGTTGTGTAGTGAATAAAGCTGATCTATATGCTGTAATATCGCACCAAGAAACAACCTCATGCAAACGGCTACTCATTGTCAACAAGATTGTAAAAAAAGTCGAGCCTTGTTTCCTTTGCATGTCCGTTAAAGAATGAGTGTCGAAGATAATTCCAAAAGACCAGAAGACAGGCAGCTTCCTGAATAGCCAACGTACTATAATAAAAGAGGAGGTTGGCAGGCGTTGAAGAAATGAACGGATCGCCATTTACCAATGATATCCATGTGCACGAAAAGATGTTGACATCCAACGACAGCTGCACCCATAATAGAAAAACCAATGCTCCAGAAGACATGTAGCTTGCTGAATAGTCCACATACTAAAATAAAAGAGAAGGTTGGTAAGCGTGGAAAAGATGAACGGATCACTATTTACCAATGATAGCCATATGCACGAAAACACGTTGACATCCAATGGCAGCTGCACCCATAATAGAAATCCCAATGCACCAGAAGACATGCAGCTTGCTGAATATCCCACATACTATAATAAAAGAGGAGGTTGATTGGGATTGGAGCCAAAACACGGATCATCCGCTATTTACCAATGATACCCATGTATGCACGAAAACATGTCGACATCCAATGATAGCTGCATCCATGAAAATCCCAAAGAACCAGAAGACAAGTAGCTTGCTGAATAGACCACATACTATAATAAACGAAGAGGTTAGCAGGCACCGTAGAAAAGACGGATCATCATTTACCAATGATAGCCATGTATGCACGAAATCCTGCTGATATCCAAATCTAGCCGATTCTTTGCAATCGTCCGCTTGTTGATAAGGCCCGCTACGGTGGCATCCGCGTTGTAAGTTGTAAACGATGGAACGATACTTGATGGGTATATACAGTGAGAAGGTTGAGTAATACTTGTACCACCAAAGATAGCATACTTACACGATGCCGAAGAGCCTTTACAAGGAGCGAGAACGAACCAATGTGCTACCCAAGTCCACATGCAAATCGAAAAATCATCCATCGAAAATCCCAAACCAGCATCCTAGCTTCGGAAGGGAGTACACTCAGTGATATAGCCGATATGAATGAGATACCAATCCTTTTTCATTGGGTATGGAATGCAGCTTGACGATGGAGTCCTTGACGAGATGCATGAATGACCTTGGTGACACAAAAGACTTGAACGCGGGCCTTCACTTCTTGTTGATGACATGATCCATCCATAAGACACGTATAGTTGTAGAGATCCATCAAAGGAATTGCCGATAACCAGAACCACCAAGAGATAGAAAGGTTGCTGATATCAAAGATATACAAGTTGTTCCTTGTTGCTGATGTGATCAATCGATAAGAGACCTTCATTTCAGGATGCCCACCGAGTTGCCGATAACGAGAAGAACCAGATGATGGGATAAAGCTTGATATGGCACCAATCGTATGCATGCTGTTGCTAGTTGCTGATACAATCCACTCATAAAAGTTCATTGGCTGAGATTCTCCAGAGAAATCGCCCGTTGCTTGGTAACCAACCACCCGAGACGCAATAAAGGTTGACACCACCAAAGACATAAACACTTCCCCATGGCTGACATGATTCACCTATAAAAAGATGCACCATAAACAATTGTCCAAACTCATCCAACAATACTTAGCAATCATAGCTGTGATCTTGTAAACCCCAAAGCACCAAAAGACAAGAAGCTCTCTGCAATGGTCCCTCTAAATAATGGTAGGCGTTTCAGCAAAGGTCTCCAAAAAGCATGAGAGCCATACATACCTGAATCACGCAATCATCACCAGCAGACTTGGGAAACAAATAGGCCATCAGGATGCAAAGTAATAATAAAAGCGCACAGCCAAAGAAACATCATTGTACCGGTACTCTCCTGTGGATCGACGCGATGAAGTGCATCAATAGAGATACCCATCTTCTCTCTAAAGGCAAGGAGATCAATAGCCGTAAAACGATGGAGCCGTGCGAACAGAGGATGCATTTTTAAATCCCTGAGGCCGCAACATGAGTCGCACTGTCCCCGGGCACAACATGTAGAGCTCCACAGGAAAGTGTAATACAATGACGTCCTTGACGTGCAGCCTTGATAATAATAGCATCGCCGAAAGAGGCTCTGCCATTGTATGGTGTTTGGTAAGTCCACTTGAATCCAACCAATCCCACAATGAACACTCTTACCTTGTGGTATTTCTCAATACCGTTCCATTGATGGTTGTAAATAACCTTGTATCCATCCGATCCAGTATGTGCTGCTGCTGTTTTTTGGTAAGGTTGGTTAATTAACAGGTTTTGCTTTGTAGATCCAATACCATGCATACCATTGAGCCAACCATACAGCATTCTTGCTTTGAGATCCGTATCCTGTTGCTGCCAGAGGTACCATCATCCAACATGTTCAACCTACCATAAACGCAATGTGAGATAACAAGTAAAACCAACCCACACGCTTTTGTTGTCAGCATACCCAAAAGAAGCAATGTAAAGACGTCTTGTGATCTCTCATTGTGGACAACTCGGTAAGGAAGGCACACGACGCCCTGAACCACGGTGATCACAAGGAATTGCAACCAAATACACCATCCGAAGGCAATACAATAATCAACCTGCAGCGCCAAGGTATGCCACCATATGTACCATACTCTCATTGGATCCTGAAATTGGCATCATAAGAGATATCCACCTTCT